CTGGAACTTGTGCGCACGTGTGCCGGACTGCAGCCACCACATCAGCTGGGAGAGCTGGTGCATGAATTGTCGGGTTACCACGGCAGGCTGCTGGTTGCACAGCTGGTTGGGTGAAAGCCCATCCCACTTGAAGTTCTTGTCGTTCTGGTAGAAGTACAGAATCTCGGCAGCGCGGTGCTCCAATTCCCCTTGCGGAAGTTCGGGACGCAGGCGCAGCAGCCGCCCGGAGATAGCCGCTAGGAGCATGGCAGGTTGCCGCGCATGGCAGGAGAGTGTCATGAAGAAGCTGGGAATTCCAAGCTGCTCGTACATGTTCAGGGCCACCCCCTTCTTGGCGTACAGGTACGGCTGCGTGCCGGGAATGTCCCTCAAGGCCGCGTATACCCGACGGCTGCCGTTCTCGTATTCACTCTTGCTGCGGGGTGTCCGTTGATTGCTGATGCGGACGTTGATGTTTCCGGTGAGGCGCTTCTTGGTCTTCATCTCCAGGAGCCACATGATGTAGCCAGTGGATCCTTCAAATCGGCCATCCGCGCTCAGTAGACGCCTCCGTGCGTATTGGGCGAAGCCGCCGTAGTCGTTCCGCCAGCCTCCAAACCCGGTGGGGAACAGGTGCGGGAAGAACTTTGCATCCAAGTCGTCACTGAGGTCTGCAGATCCTCGGGCCTTTCGCAAGTCGTGGATGTCGGCCTTCGGAGCTTGGAACTGTTTCGGCAACAGGTATGTCACTTCCACTCCTCCTTCTTCCTCCTCTTCTTCATCTGCTTGCGCTGCTGGCGGTGGGTCTGTTGGCACCGTAGCTGAGGCAGCGGGGGCTTTGTTGGCCAGGATGGCAGCCATTCGTGCCAAGGCTGTCTCGACAGCTGGACACTGTTGATAGAGGCGGTGATGACCTTTCAAGGCTTGCAAGGCCGCATGCAGATATTCCAGGCGTGCCGGAGATGCGGTGATGCCGTCGACGCCCTCGACCAACACGGTCCCGTCTTCCTCCAAGCTTGCGCCCTCGAGGACTCCGCAGATGAAAGGTTCTTGCATGAGAACGGCATACATGCGGCCCCATTGTGCACTGGGGCCTCCTGACGGGAGCTTGTCCAGCAGAACCTGCGAGATGCGGGCCATGGCGAGGAGATGCTGCTCGATGGGTCGCAGTCGTTGCAGTGCTTCTGGGATGGGCGCCGGGGTTGGCAAGACCACCTTTGTGCGATTCTCGCGGCAGTTCCTGCACAGTAGCTGCTTGGTGTTCTTGGCTCTGGTGCAGTGCCTCGCTGGTGTCAAGGTCTGGCACTTCTCGCACACACGGGAAAGGCCGAATCTACTCCAGCTCCGCACAAAGGCCACGTACTGTGCCCGTGCTTGCTCCGGGGTTAGAGTGTCTTCGTCTGGGAA